CTTGTGGAGGACGACTGCGCCCGCAGGGCCGACGGGCCCCCTGGCCGGGGCGGCCCTGCTGGCGGCGCCAGGAGCGGCGGGGGCCTCGCAGGGCGCCTCGCGCGGCGGCGAGTTGCCTGAGCGCGCAGCGCCGTCGCCGCCGCCGCCGAAGCCGCCGTCGCCGTCGCCGTCGTCGCCGTCGTCGCTCGTTGATTCGTTCGTTGGTTCATTCGTCCGTCCGCTCGCTCGCTCGTTCACTCGCTCCTTCCCCAGAGCCAGCGCGGCCAGTGCCGCTGCCCGCGCCGGCGCTGGCGCTGCCTGCGGCTACACGCGCGACCCAGACATGCTCGCGTCGTAAAAATATAAAAATATCACGACGGGAAGTTTCTCGGCCTCCGGGGGCCCTCGCCTGGCCCTGGGGCCGTGAAAGAACGACTCAGGATGGAAAACCGATCACAAGGAAAGGGTCGGACACATCGAGTAGGAGACCGACTGCACAATTGAATTGCACAAAAATCGGTCTTTACTCGTCGAATATATGCTCGTAGGCCGTGCCGCTGGGCACGCAGTGGGCTTGTCCTCATGTCCTTTGCCGAATCCCTTAAGCACTCCAGAGGGGTCTCTAAAGGGCCTGGAGCCCAAACTCACAATCTCCTGGGCCTTCCCGCGTCTTCTAGGGGCTCGTCGCGTGATCGTTTCTGACCCAAGAGTGCCTCAAGACGGGCCAAGAAGGCCCCGAGTCGACGAACGATCGCTCCAAGACGCTCAAGGTGGCCCCCAGACGGTCCGAAAGGCCTCCAAGACGCCCCAAGAAGCCTCCAAGAGGCCTCCCAGGAAGGCCCCAAACGGCCAAAATGATAGTACTTTCCATCGGTTTTTGAAGGTTTGGGGCGTTCTCGCCTCTCCAGCTTCACGACGCTCCCAGACGGCCCTAGAGGCGAGGCCTCCAAGATCGCCCCAAAACGGCCCAAGAGGCCTCCAAGAGGGCCCCGAAACGGCCCAAGAGGGTCCCCAGACGCCCCAAGAGGGGGCCAAGACGGCCCAAGAGGACCCAAAGACAGCTCCAAGAGGGGGCCCCAATGGGGAACCCGAGCGGACATTTCGAGCCCTTGGTCCCGAGGGGCCCCCAGGAGGCCCCAAGAAGCCGCAAAGAGGCCCCAAAGAGGCCCCAAGACGCCCCAAAGAAGCCCTAGAGGCCAACAGGAGGCCTCCAAGAGACCCCCAAAGAGGCCCCAGAACTGCCCCCAAAAGGCCCCCGAGAGCGCTCCGAAGAGACTCCAAGAAGCATCCCCGAGAATTCTGACCCACAACCAAGGCACGGTGGCCGGATGGGCCAAAGGCCATGAGATCCGCCGCCCCCTTTTGGCTTGCCACAGGGGTACCCAGCGTGCTGGATGTTCTGAGAGGGTTGTGTTTTTTTAGAACTCCCCCTGGACCTTCGGCACAGCGCGCCAGTCACCCGAAAGACCTGGTTGCAAAAGTTGTTCCTGCTCAAGATGGCTCTAAGATGGCCCAAGATGGCATCCAAGCTGGCCAAGATGGCCTCCAAGTTCGCCCAAGGTGGTGCAAAATGGCCTCCAAGACGGCCCAAGAGTCCTAGATGCCTCCAAGTTCGCCCAAGAAGCCTCCAAGACGGCCCCAGACGGCCCAGGAGGCCTCCCAGACGGGCCGAGAGGTCTCCAAGAGGTCCTTCAGAAGGCCCGTAGAGGCCACAATCATAGAGTTTCTCAAGGTTTGGGAGGATTGTGGCATTTTCCGCTTTTCGGCCTTCCGACGGCCCCAGACGGCCCAAGAGGCCCCCAAGATCGCCCCAAGGTGGCACCTAAGGCCTCCAAGATGTCCCCAGGACGGACCAACACGCCTCCAAGACGGCCCCACAAGGGCTCCAAGACGGCCCAAGAAGCCTCCAAGACGCCCAAGATGGCCTCCAAGACGGCCCTGAAGCGCCACAAGAGGGCCCCAAGTCAAAGCGGCTCCGAACACGCCCCCATAAGGCTCCCAAGAGGCCTCAAAGAGGCCCTGGGGAAGGAAGCTCCAGGGAGACCCACAAGAGTGCCCCAGGAGGCTTCCAAGAGGCGTCCTCCTCCTCCTCCTTTTTCTCCTCCTCCTCATCTTCCTCCTCCTCCTCCTCCTCCTCCACCTCCTCCTCCTCCTCCTCCTCCTCCTACTCCTACTCCCTTTTCCCTTTCTCTCCTCATTCTGCAGCTGATCTCCTACTCTAACGCAAGAACGATCCTGGGCAAGAGTGACCTTTGGCGCCCTGCTCCGCGGGGCCCTTCGGCGAAAAGTCATTCAAACGCGCAGCCGATGCCTGCGCTGGAGGCCATGGCAGCGCCCGGCGCGGGTTGCGCGGCGTCCCGGGACGCACGGTGGACGCGCAGCGGGGCGCCCGCGGCGTCGCCCAGGGCGACGCGCACCCGCTGCGGAGAGGCCTGCATGGCCGCTGCAGCGCCTGGTCGCCTGCGGGACGCAGCGGCGCAGAGCAGATCGAGCCGAACGACGGCTGGCCTCGAGCCAGAAAAGCTTTGGATAAGAACAGAAAGAGAGATATGTAATAGATAAACAACACAATAAAAAACTAGCCGGCCGCTCTGCGGTTGATCGGGAGTTTCTGTATATAGAAGAAGGTGCGTGCGCTTGTTGGCGAGGGTGAGGATGAGGTTCCTCCTCCTCCTCCTCCTCCTCCTCCATCCTTCTCTTGCCTCCGTCTGTCCTCCTCCACCCCACAGCTCCATCATCTCCTCCTCCTCCTCCTCCTCCTCCTCCTCCTCCTCCTCCTCCTCCTCCTCCTCCTCCTCCTCCTCCTCCTCCTCCTCCTCCTCCTCCTCCTCCTCCTCCTCCTCCTCTCCTCCTCCTCCTCCTCCTCCTCCTCCTCCTCCTCCTCCTCCTCCTCCTCCTCCTCCCTCCTCCTCCTCCTCCCTCCTCCTCCTCCTCCTCCTCCTCCTCCTCTCCTCCTCCTCCTCCTCCTCCTCCTCTCCTCCTCCTCCTCCTCCTCCTCCTCCTCCTCCTCCTCCTCTGGCACCTCCCCCGGGGCGCGGATCCACCGTATCTGTCCGGATCTGTCCGGAAACGGTGCCGGAGGCCGCTCTGGGCTCCTCTGGGCACCTCCCCCGGGGCCGGTTTTGTGAGGATGTCTCAAGCGAGGGCGCCGGTTTGGGATTCGTCGGCGGATCCACCGGATCCACCGGATCTGTTCGGAAACGGTGCCGAAGGCCGCTCTGGGCTCCATGGGCACCTCCTGCAGCCGGTTTGGGATTCGTCGGCGGATCCACCGGATCCAAACGGTGCCGGAGGCCGCTCTGGGCTCCTCTGGGCACCTCCCCCGGGGCCGGTTTTGTGAGGATGTCTCAAGCGAGGGCGCCGGTTTGGGATTCGTCACCGGATCCACCGGATCTGTCCGGAAACGGTGCCGGAGGCCGCTCTGGGCTCCTCTGGGCACCTCCCCCGGGGCCGGTTTTGTGAGGATGTCTCAAGCGAGGGCGCCGGTTTGGGATTCGTCACCGGCGGGATCCACGGATCCACCGGATCTGTCCGGAAACGGTGCCGGAGGCCGCTCTGGGCTCCTCTGGGCACCTCCCCCGGGGCCGGTTTTGTGAGGATGTCTCAAGCGAGGGCGCCGGTTTGGGATTCGTCGGCGGATCCAGCGGATCTGTCCGGAAACGGTGCCGGAGGCCGCTCTGGGTTCCTCTGGGCTGGTCTTAGTGGTATCGAAGGTATCGTCTTGCCTGCCTGCACGGTTCGTCGTCGTCGTCGTCGTCGCCACTCCTCGCACGCTTCGTCGTGGCCCCGTAGCCTGAACCGTGGTTGCGCGCGTATACCGCCACGCCCATGTCGGCACACCCCTCACACGTCATCATGTATTCTTTTCAACGCAACGTTGCTCATCAACTTGTGCATTATCTTATCAGATTTTTTATCATCATCAAGCGCTGCGCAAGTTAAAGATTTCATCCACCTCGCCATCGCCAGCGACAGCGAGCACGCGTGTGCAACTACGCAAACGTTGTTGCCACGTCATACGCGTACATTGCAACATGATCGACCCACGAACCCGGAAAGGAATATAGAAATGTAAGGCATTGCAACATTTCAAAGACACCTGATTGGGCGACGGCACATGCAATGCTGAGTGCATCGATGATGATGATGATGATGATGTGACTGTGCCGAGGGCTGTGCTGTGCTACGCCGTGCTGAACTGCGATGTGCCATGCCGCGAGTGTGCTCTATATAGCGTTGTGGATCGAGTCCTCCCTGGCATTCGGGTCCTCACCGAACTGATCTGGAGCGTAAGCTCGAGCTGCCTCAGCACATAGTAGCTGCCCCAGAACTAATCGACAGAGGGAACATGCCAGGAGGACGCGCCGCGAAACGTCCCAAGGGACGCGCCAGGCGACGTGCCAGGGGACGTGCCATGGGGACGCACCGCGGGACGTGCCAAGGGGACGCGCTACGGAACGTGCCAATGGACGTGCCGAGGGACGTGCCAGGGGACGCGCCGCGCAACGTGCCAGGTGGACTCGCCACGGAACGCGCCAAGGAACTTGCCAAGGTGCATAGTTGATTGTATCGAACTTGTGTACCGTGCCGACGGCTGTGCTGTGCTGGCCGTGCTGAACTGCGATGTGCTCCCTGCGCGCGATTGTGCTCTATATAGCGTTGTGGATCGAGTCCTCCCTGGCATCCGAGTCCTCACCGAACTGATCTGGATCGTAAGCTCGAGCTGCCTGAGCAGATGGTAGCTGCCCCATAACCAATCGACAGAGGGAACATGCCAGGAGGACGCGCCGCGGAACGTCCCAAGGGACGCGCCAGGCGACGTGACAGGGGACGTGCCATGGGCACGCACCGCGGGACGTGCCAAGGGGACGCGCTACGGAACGTGCCAATGGACGTGCACCGCGCGACGTGCCAGGGGGACTCGCCACGGGACGCTCCGCGGAACGTGCCAGGCAACATGCCAGGCTGCAATGCTAAGGGTATCGATGTTGATGTACCGTACCGAGGGCTGTGCTGTGCCTGGGCGACCTGGACATGTGAAAACACGCGTTTCGCTCAAGACGTTGTCAGCACATCCTCATGCTAGACATCAGCCTGGGCAACCTGGACACGTGCAAACAAGCGTCTCGCTCGAGACATCCTCAACAAATGCTCATGCTAGACATCCGCCTGGGCGACCTGGACACGTGAAAACAAGCCTCTGGTTCGAGACATCCTCAACAAATCCTCATGCTAGACATCTGTCTGGGCCACCTGGAGGCGTGAAACAAGCGTCTCGCTCGAGACATCCTCAAGACCTGGGCACGTGAAAACAAGCAATCCACTTGAGAGATCCTCAGAAATCATGTCCCCAGGAAAAGACAATCTATAACACAAAACAAGGGTTTCGCTCGAGACATCCTCAACAAATTCTGAAAAACAAGCGTTTCGCTAGGGACATCCTCAAATTTTAATTCGCCGGCCCTCTTCCCACTCGTTATTTATCGCAAAAGAAATTCGCCGGCCCTCTTCCCGTCAAACCCGGGGGGAAACCATCTAAAAGAGAACCCTGGGCTCAAGCCCTTTCCGGGGAAAAAACGCGTAGGCATGCGCGGCCTCTCCCGACACGGCACGCACCATCATCATTACCATTGGGGTTTTACCCATGGTGTTTAAGTGAAACATAGGGGCCTTAAGTGAAACAAAATGAAACAAGGGGGACGTGGTTCCACCACGTTTATATGTGGATTGCAGGGGGAACGTGGTTCCACCACGTTTTTATGTGGATCGCAGGGGGTACGATCGCGTCGTGGTCGTGGTCGTCGTCGTCGTCCTTGACGTCGTCGTCTCCCCCTGTGGCCGAACCAGCCGACCTCATCGTCGTGGTCGTCGTAGTGCTCATCGTTGTCATCTACGTCGTCGTCGTCGTCGTCGTCGTCGTCGTCGTCGTCGTCGTCGTCGTCGTCGTCTCCTCCCCCCCTCTCCCCCCCCTCCTCCCCTCGCCGGCAGGCCCCCCCCCGTGCAGGTCGTCGTCGTCGACGACGACCTGCGCCGCCGCGTCGACCACCTGCCGGAGGCGGCGGGGGCGGCGCCGGCGAGGGGGAGGAGGATAAGTGGGAGGAGGAGGGGGGAAGGGAGGCTCTTGGAGTCACAGCTTGTCGGAGGATGAGTAGGAGGAGGAGGTGAGGGGAGGGGGAGGAGGCGAAGACAGGAGGGGCGAGGGGAGGAGGGTGAGGGAGGGGGGGGGAGGGTTAGGGAGGGTGAGGGAGGGTGAGGGGAAGGGGGGAGGCTGAGGAGGGGGAGGGTGAGGGGAGGGGGGGAGGGTGAGGGAGGGTGACCAGGGGCGAAGAGGTTATCCCACCAGCCCTCTGGGCGTAGGTGGTTTAGAGACGGAGGGGTTAGAGCGTCCAAGATGGCCCAAGATGGCTCCAAGAGGCCCTCCGAGAGCCCAAGATGGCGCACGATAGCTCAAGATGGCTCAAGATAATCTCCGACATACCTCCAAGAGGCCCCGAGACGGCCCCAAGACGAATTCAAGTGCCCACCGAGCCCTCCAAGGACCCCTCTGAGAGGCCCAAATGGCTCCAAAACTTAAGGAAAATCAGTGTTTTTGGCCTTCTCGCCTTTTCGCTTCCGATGGGCCTCGGAGGCCTCAAGATCGCCCCAAGATGGCCCAAGAGAGCCCCAAGAGGGGCCCGAGAGGCACCAAGAGGGCCCCAAGAACGCCCAAGCGCCCCAAGAGAGCCCCGCCCCAAGAAGAGGGCCCCAAGACGGCCTTTGAGCCTCCAGACGAGCAGGGCAATTGCGAAGCCGAAAAAACGTTTCGCAAGAAGCGAGCGAAACGCACCAGTCCGCAATGGTTTTGGCCCAAATTGATTGGCGTCCCAGCTGGAACTCGGCACTGGTGGTATCAGCAGCGACAAGGTGGTCTTGGGCACCGACTGCTCGGGGCTGGACACGTTCAAGGTCGCTTTGGACGCTGTTCTGGTCAAAGGCGGGGGGGGTGTCGCGCACGCGTTCGCGTCCGACAACCGGCTGTGGGCACGCAAGTTCATCAAGAAGCACAACCCGGGCTTGTGCATCGTGTGCAGCGACATCACCAAGCGCCCCAACAAGCAAACGCCCTACGTGGACATTTACTGCGCCTCGCTTCCGAACAATGGCCAGTACACGGCACAGGAGCTGTCCGACGGCGAGGATAACCCCCACGACAAGGATATCGTCACGATGCACGTTCTCAACTACATCAAGGAGAAGAGGCCCAAGGCATTCCTGCTCGAGTCCAGGGTCCACCTCTACAGCGCGAGCATGAAGCCAGAGATGGCGGCGGTGCACGGCCACCTGCAGAAGAAGCTCACGACCGAGAGCGGCGACCCGAGCTACTACGTCTGGAGCGACCCGATGGACGCGCGTTGCGATGGTGGCCTGCCTCAGGCGTCGCAAAGGTTGTTCTTCGTTGGCATCCTCAAGACGGCAGTGGATCCCAGGGCCGTTTCCAACCCGTTGACCCTCTCTCAGATGGAGGAGGAGCCTCGCGGACGTGCTGGACCCATACGTCGCGCCACTCTCCAGGCCCGACTTCGACGAGCCGCCGGGCCTGAGTCCGGCCCAGCTCCGCAATTACAAGAAGGTCAAGGACTGGCTCGAGCCCGCCATAGACGTGAAGATGCCGAACCCCCCCGGCAATCAGATCATCATCTCGGACTTGAGCGTCGGTCCGACGAGGGACCCCGACACTTTGCGAGGATGCTCGATCGGCCTGGCGCCCAGCCGCCCGAACGGCTACTTCATCTGGGGGAGGCAGCGGTTCATGACGACTACTGAGATGGAGTCGCTGCAGGCCATTCCGAACGACCACTTCAAGTACGACGGCATCATCAGCGAGAACCAGTACAAGAAGCTCGTCGCTGAGGCGCCGCCTGCCCCGATAGTCGGCCGCGTCTTGCGCAAGATTTTGCTACAGGTGAAGCCCCCTCCGGCTATCGTGGAGCCCGACCCTTGGTGCCCTTCTTCGGGCTGGGCGAAAGCGAAGGCTTATCCTCCTGTGTTTCCCTACTTCGACTGAGGTCTGAGGTCCCGGTCTCGCCGCGCTCTGGCGGGGTTCCGAGCCGGCTGAGGGGGGCAGGGGGAGGGGGAGGGAGGATGAGGAGAAGGATGAGGAGGCAGGATGAAACGAGTGCCTAGTAGCTAGCTGCCGCCCGAGCGAGGCTCGGAAGGAGGGGATAGCCACTCCCAGAGTGCGACCGTGCCTGCTCGCCAAAATCCTTAACGCTTCGCGTATCCCCACCAGCCCATCCAGAAACAATCGCCAGGCGAGTTGAGGTGTTGTTGCGAGAGGCTCTCGGAGGTCTCTTGTGGCCATCTTGGGGCTCTCTTGGGGTCCTCTTGGGGTCCTGTTGGGGTCCTCTTGGGGCCCTCTTGGGGCCCTCTTGGGGCTCTTTCGGGGCCATATTGGGGCCCTCTTGGGGCTCTTTGGGGGAGTCTGAAAGGTCTCTTGGGACCGCTTTGGGCCCCATGGCTCAGCCCCCCCCCCATCGGAGGTGTTTCGCGCCGTAGGCCTGCCCCACCCCCTCCCCCTCCTCTTCCTCCTCCCGCTGCTTCCCCTCCCCCTCTCGTTTCGTTGGGGCGTCGGCTGCGACTGCGAACGATGATGGCGATCGCGGTGGCGGCAGCGGCGGTGATGACGATGACCGAGGTGATCGAGCTTGTGATGATGATGATGATGATGACAGTGGCGATGACGACGATGATGATTTGTGTTTTACTTACAACCGCCCAGGCCGCAACAGCCCCGCCAAATCTCGAATATGTTTTGCAGCCTTGCAACACTCCGAATCATCATCGATGGCACGCACCGACCGCGCATCGAACGGGGTCCAGCACCACATACTTTAAAAGCGCCTCAGGGCCTGCAAGGCGCTTTCTCACGCACGAGATGGCTGGATCGGCCTTTTCCCCGGCAGTCACAAAAGCAACGGAGTTCGCGAATTTCTTCTGCGCGTTGAGACGGGTCGCCTTCTCTGCGAACACCAGCTTACAATCAGGCTCATACAAAGTCCACTTAGACTCGCTCCGCTCGCTCATTCCCCGAATTATCTCGTGCAAAGATGGGTGCGCAGCTATGAACGCTGCCGAACACCAAGCAAACCGATGCACTGTGACTTGCGGCTTGTAAGCCACGGCGACGCCCGCAGCGCCGCGCGTTTCAAGATATACAAACGTGCACACCACGCCGCCGATCAGGGCTGCCGCGAACTGGACGCGCTGCCCAGGAGACTCCACATCCTTAACAACGAACACGTCCGCCTCTGGACGAGTCGCAACTACGCCGGCCCCGTTCCTATTCAGTATGTCAGCAACACGGCTCGCCTCCGGGAGGGCCACGGACTTATCGAAGAAAACATTCTTGCCGCGCAGTCGTGCGACGTGCGGCGCCTCGGCTGCGGACTGTCTCTTGGCCTTCGCCACGTATGCATTGACCCTCTTTCTCTCCGTCGCTACTTGGTCGAGGACGCCCTTGAGCTCCTCCTGATGGTGACACACCCCCGAAATCAGAAGATAGTTTGGGCCCTCCTCCTCCGCCGCGTCCTCCCCCCCCGTCCTTCCGCGCGCATAGCGAGGTTTTTTGCTGTGTTGCATCATCAGCATTGCATTGTTTTCCTGCGTTGCATGTCGCCGCTTTGACTTGGCTGACCACGTGCCTGTTCGAGTGTTCTCCTCCCCCCCCCCTCAGCCCCCCCCCCCTGTGCACAGCTTTTCCCCTGCTGACTTCCCGCGCCCCGCAGGGGCCCTCCGACGCGGCGCCAGGGATGATAGGAGGGCGAGGAGTGTGGGGCCAGGGACGGGAGGGGGGCGGGGCCAGGGATAGGAGGGTGAGGAGGAAATTTTCATTGTTCCATCCTGGGTCCTCGCTGGCGCAGGCCAGCTGGTCCTCCGGGATCTCTCCATTCAGCACGGAATCGTGAAAACGCTTCTGCCTCTTATTCTGTTGGAACTTCACCTCCTTCTCGCGGTCGGCGGTCCATCCGTCAACCCCGACGGTCCGCGTGCCCGGGGCGCTCATCAAGTCGACTGGCCGTGTCTGGGAAACAACGCCCTGAACATCGGCGCGCCTGCCCCGAATCCAGGACGTCCCAGTGTTGACGTCGCGCGCCCTTGCGGGGGCTTCCTTGTGTAAATCCATGCGGACGCGCACTCTTGGCCTGCGAACCGGTCCGTAAATCTTTGCCCAGATCTTGGGCGCCAGCGCCACCGCTCGATCGATGTGGTCCTTGCTCCACGGCTGCTTGATCACGAGCTCGTCCTGCATGTAGCCCCCCCACTTGTCTGGCCGATTCGCGCCAGCGAGGTTGAGGATCTGCGAGAAGTTCTGCTCAAGGCCGCTAGTGCTCGGGCCGTAGGCGCCGAAGGTCATCAGCACTGGCCTCAACGCCCCCACCGGGTGGAGCTTCGCGGTTCGGGCGTCTTTCTGACACTCGGCAACCGCCATCGCCCACGCGGCGATAGTACCAGTACAAGACGGGTCTATCAGCATCTGCTGCGCTATCGGCCTCACGTCGTTGAGCTGGCTGAACAGTGCGGTCGGGTTCACGCAGACGAATTCGGCCAAGCTGTCGCAACTTGCTCGCAATTGGGACATAGTCTGATTCCCTAGGTCATGCTGCGAACCCTGCGCGGGCGCGCCGAGGGACTGCGATAGCTCGCCGAGATTGAATGCCCTCATCGCGTAGATGATCTCGAACTCTGGAATTTCTGCACGTATGGTCTCGCGGGCCAAGTGGACCCAATTAGCCATCCGTTGCACGCACCTCCTCTTGACGTCGACGGGGACGCCGGCCGCGCATCCCAGCGTCCTCTGACCATCCATTGCGAGGAGGAGCACGGGCTCCTGAAGTTGCTGCACCATGTGCTGCGTGTAGCCGAGCTTCCAACAATGTTCATCAACGAAGAGAGCATGGATCCTGCTGAGGAAGGCGCGCAAGTTCATGGAAACAGCAGAGACGTCCATGCGCTCGGTGTCCATGACGCGGATGAGCATGTTGCACTCGTCCCCCGCATCTGCCAGGAGAGCCAACGTGACTGCGCGCTCCACGTCCAGAAAGGACAAGTACGCCGAGGCCAGCTTGCTCTCCTGCTTGCCCACGCGAGAGGTAGCTATCTGGGTTGCTGTCGCAATCACGCTCTTGAACATCAGGACGTGTCGCCCGAAAGGATTCTGCGTCGAATTGAAGCGATGCTTTGCGAAGCTCAGGTCGCGGATCCTGTTGGCCTGGAACGGGCAGTGATCCAACTTCTCATTGTGTTGCTGAAACCATCCCTTGAACGTCGGGGAGTTCTGCATCAGGGTCGTGATCGAACCTTTCGCGAGGATCATGATGTCCGCCGTGTCGCTCAGGTACTGGTCTGCAGCCCATGCCCTCGAGCACACCCTCCGGACGCCGTGGGGCTTGTCCTGCGCAACCTTTTTCAAGTTAGGGAGCACGTCGCGAGAAATGCACCCAGCTGCCTGGGCCCACCCGGCGTCCACTCAGGGCGCGGAAAATGGGATGGAGCGGAGGAGGAGAGGAGGAGGGCAGAAGGGAACGGAGGTTGCGGAGGAGGGGGAGAAAGAGGGTTAGGAGAGCACGAGGAGGCGGAGCAGCAGCGGTGGAGGCGGTGATAAGGGAGGTGGAAGACGAGGGAGAGTGAACGAGGAGAAGGAGGGAGGACAGTAAAAGAGAAGGAGAGCAGCAGCGGCAGAAGGTCCTTCAAGAACTTGCCAGCCACTTGCTCCGGCGCTGCAGAGTCAGCTGTATACATCTGCACGGACTCGCACACGCTCTTGAACAGCTTCTGGTCGAATTTGCCGTGCTTCTTCGAAAACTGCGGGCCCCGAAGTGGCGTGCAAAACTCCCGAAGGACGTGCAGGGAAGCGCCCCGGATGCCAGTCGCTCTGCCGTTGAACGGCGGCTTTGTCAAATCACATACACCGACGATACCGCTCATCACGTTGATGTTCTTATCGCAGCCCCTGATGCGCATGAGCAGGACCTCCTCCGTAGTGTCTTGCAGAATAGAAGACACTGTCTTGTTCTTGAAGAAGGAGCGCAATAGAGACCGCAATGCCTCGGCTATGCACCAAACCATGCGTCTCTTCTTTCTTGCTCTTCCGAATGCGGGGAGGTCGGATGGGCCCTCTCCCCGAACGGCCTCCAGGAGGCTTCTGGAAGTCGAAACATATGGGGCCCCAGGAACCGTAATTTGGACAGGCGTCTTCCCAGATGCGATGGTGCCAACGACGACGCTCAGCTCCTTGTGAATCTGGGAGCTCACGTGCTTCTTGATGTTGGATTGGATCAGGGCATCAGGCGAATCCAAAGTGAATTGGGCGAGGCCGGGCTTGTTCATCTTGGTGCTTGTAGAGCATATCCAGCAGCCCAGCGCTGGCCTTCCCGTCGACATCGTCGCGAACGCTGCCCACGTACCGCGGTCTGGGGCCAGAGGGTCCAAGAGGGTTTCGCGCCAGGCGTTTAGCTGCGAAACAGATAACGCAATCTACAGAATCACACAAGGCGACGTGCCTCTCGTACCTGTCGATGGTGTAGTCACTGAGGCGAGTGAACTGGAAGTCCCTGCACAGCGGCGCCCCCAGGGCTGGCGGTTGGCTGCTGGCGGCGGGTCGCGGGCGCGTCGCCCCGCCGCTAGGCGCGGCGGACGGCGGCGGAATGGCGTCCAAGAAAACATCCCAGCCGTCCATTGCCGGCAGATGGAGTCTGGCGTCAGCCAGGAAGCGAGGGGCGGTCTAAGGAAAGGGGGGCGGTGAAGGAGGTCAGGAGGAGGAGGGGGGAGGAGAGAGGCGGTGGAGGAGGTCGAGGAAATCGTGGCGTTGGAGACGAGGAGAGGAGGAGGAGGGCGGCGGGAGGAGAGACGGCCGGCCGGCGCGCGCCGCAGGGGCTGGCGAGGCCGAGGCGGCCGAGGGCTTCCGCGAGGCCGGGGCGGGCCGGCCCCGCTCGAGCCTCCGCGTCGTCGGACGACGAGGAAGGAGGATGAGGAGGAGGAGAGGGAGAGGAGGTTCGGCGAGGTTCG